TAGTAACATACGTACTATTTGAGGTTCAAGAAGAAAGGGCTGCCTCCAGGGACCATGGGTTGGCCACTTTTTGGTGAAACCACTGGTTTCTTGAAACAAGGCCCCATCTTCATGAAGAACCATAGCAATTAACTTTGTAAATTATCCCTCTAAATGTAGAACTAATAGGTAAATAAAAAGCAATATCGCCCCTTCCCTCAATTCACTCACCTTGGAAAACCCCAAAAGGTTTGAGAATTGCAGAACTCACATAAATGTTTACACAATTTACATTCTACTTTGTGCTATAAATAATCATAGACACTATTTCTACCATTAAATCCATACTAATATTAATCTAAAAATAGATAAAATTCAATAAATTAAATTAAATGACAAAAGGTTTGAAATCAAACCTCTATTAAGAAAATATGGCGAGGAGGAGGCTTTTTTACAGCATTGCAGGGTGCGGCGGATTGCGGCGGCGGAGTGCGGCGTCCTGCGGTTGTTGCTGTTCCGTGCGCGGCTGAGAGGGCAGGGGAGGCGGCTGGCAGGTGGAAGAGACGTAGCTGATGGAAGGCAGAGTGCGGCTGAGAGGGCAGGGAAAGCGTGCGAGGTCGCTGATGGAAGGGCAGAGTGCGGCGTCTGCGAATTTTTTCTCAGGTGCTGATTTTCCATGAATAGAAGTATCCGCCCGCAGGGTTTCATGAAACGACGACGCAGACCTATTTTTTTACACTTATTGTTGGGGTTATACGATGCCCGCAGCAAATACATTGAAAATTAATTTTAAAAATACCTTTTGCTGCGGTTTTCTCGTACACGCATCAAAAAACGGAATATTTTTCCAATTAATTGCTGCGGAACACATATAACCGCAGCAAATAGTGAGGCGCAAATGACAAAAAATCTAGTAGTGTAGATTGTGGAGAAGTGTTAACATAAAAATCTTGTTGAGAATTAGGGTTAGAGTTACTAGATGATCCTATGTTTCCAGATGAGGACGGATCCATGGCTAGCTTTTGCTCTCGCTGAGTCTTTCGGTTCTATCTAGCGAGCTTTTCAATCTCAAGATTAAGAGGGACTAATGGTTCTCACCTCTTAGAGCGTGTATGCATAAACAGATCTGACCTGCAAGGTTAGCGGAAAAAAATTCTACGAAAAAACTAAAAACAGAACGTTGAGTCTAATTAACCCTTAAGACCGACACCGTCCCCGGCATCGGCGCAAAACTCTGATGTTAGTTTTCTCGCACTTATAATAGATTGTAATATAGTGGTGTAAGTACGAGTATCGTTTCCACAGGGACGAACAAAAAGGAATTAAGAATTAAATAAATTCAGCGATAAAAAAAAAGCGTCGTGCGAGATTTGGTTGATTTGGAAAATAAAATTGCTAAATATCGAATAAATAAAGATTTTGTTTTTCTCTAATTAACGACGAAGGGAACAAGGATTGATTATGGGGTAACTAGATTTCTTGCAGATCAGGTCTAATTACATGAAATTAATTTAATTGAGTCTAGCTAGTCATTACTAAGTTTTTACCGCTCTCGCAGCGTAGAGTAGAATAATTTAGAGGAACATACAGATCTCTCATGCGACAGGATCCTAAATTATTGCCAAGACAAGCGAGCTTACGGCCCCTTAATCGCTACTAATCTCTTAGCGAACGATTAAGTGTGTGAATGGGTCCTAGAACAAATTAGATCTCTCTTAATTTATTCTACATGCAATTGTAATTCTAGCTGCAGTCTAGTTCACAAGAGATATCAGTTAAATTATTCAAACACAAATTAAACGGCATTAATGCAATTAATCCATCAAGAGTCTAGTCATACATCATGATTAAACTCTTCATCAATCCCAAGTCCCTAATTAAAACTACTCACAACTCATAATTGAAAGATCAATAGAATTGGGAAGAATAGAATTAATTGTCAATAATTAAAAGTAGGAATCTCAAAGAATTGAGGAACAAGCCTAAAAAGCTCTCAAAATTTCGTACTAGACCTTCTCTCTAAGTTCCATCCCAAAACAAGGGATTATAGGCTGTTTAAATAGGGGAAAAGGGGTAAAATTCGAGTTGGAATAGGAGATACGGGGTCAGGCACGACGCTAGGCACGACGTGCCTGTCGTCCGTGCCTGCAGAGCAAACGCGCGTCTCGCGTCCAGGCACGGCGTGCATCCCGGGCAGTAGCTCAAGAGTTGTTTCCTCTACGAATTTGACAATGATGTCTTCATGAACGTTGTAGCTAAAGAAGTCCTATATCCACCAAAACTTACAAAACTGGATTTGGATCATCCAATCAAGAGATCATCTGACTTCTTCGTCTGTTTTTACCTTTCTCCTATGAGATTCTAGAAATAGTGTCTTGATATGATTTGTAGCCCTTGACGTTGTCTTTCATATGGAACTTGAATCGTGTTCTTTGGATGTTTTTACAAAAAGATATGCTTGAACGATTGATAGAAGGTCATCCTGAACGCCGTTTTCAAGCTCTATTCCTCTTCATTTGAACCCGTAGCCAATCCTAGAGTTCTTTTATCATCGAATCTTCATCGTGAACCTCCCGATGACCTCCAAAGCTCTCAATTCTCCCTCAAATGCATCATCAACTCATCCCTATTGCTTCTCAAGCGCCGGTGTCGGACTCCAATTCCTGATTAACAATACAAAACTCGAACCAACACCCGGTAACTATGACTTTAGCTAAAAATGAGACTTGTGACACAAAAAAAAATAGGGAAACTATCAAAAGTCGATCTAAACATGCATCAAATGCGTGTCTAAATACGGACTTATCATAACCCTACCACAAAATCCATGGTCACGTGTTCCCACTTCCATTCCGGAATGGTAAGTGGCTGCAAAAGCCCTGTCGGGTGCTAATGTTCTGCCTTAACTTGTTGATAGGTAAAACACCGACTCACATACTCTGTGATGTCCCTCTTCATACCTGACTACCAATAACTTTCCTTTAGGTCTCGGTACATCTTTGTACCTCCTGGATGCATAGCATAAACCGAGGAATGAGCCTCCTCTAGTATAGACCTTTGGAGCTCTTCATTCTTCGGTATACATACACGATCTTTAAATAAACAAAAGACCATCCTCTCGTACCTGTAAATCCTCAACGGATCCCGCAAGGATCCGTTCACGGATCCCGCAAGGATCCGTTCACGGATCTTCTGACATTCTTCATCAATGCCCTGACATGTGCTGATCTCATCCATCAAGGTAGGTCTAACCTCGAATCTCGCTATGATGGCCTCGCCCGTGGTCACCTCCACGTGCGCCCTTAATGCCCGTAGGCAAGTGAGTAACGTCCTCGACGTACTCTTTCTGCTCAGTGAATCGGCCACCACATTTGCCTTACTGGGATGATTGTCGATGATCAAGTTATAGTCCTTGATCAACTCCATCCATCTCCTTTGTCTCATATTCAACTCTTTCTGAGTGAATACATACTTCAGGCTCTTATGATCGGTGTAGATGTGACATGTCTCCCCGTAGAGATAATGCCTCCAAATCTTTAGTGCAAACACTACCGCTCCCAACTCTAGGTCATGGGTAGGGTAGTTCACCTCATGTTTCCTCAATTGCCTAGAAGCATAGGCAATTTCCTTACCGTTTTGCATCAGTACACATCCAAGCCCTTGGATGTGTACCCTATCCGTTGTATGGGTAGAACAAGAACTGGTGCCTCACTATAGATATCATACCCTATCAGTTGTATGGGTAGAGCAAGAACTGGTGCCTCGGTGAGTCGTTTGTTTAGCTCAAGAAACCCCTTCTCACACTTGTCATCCCATATGAACTTAGCCCCCTTCTTAGTGAGCTTCGTTGACCCTTCTTTAGAAACTCATCACACTTCTCCCGTGAGCATCATCCCTAGGAATGCGTCGAACTCCAACATACTTAGAGGTACGAAATCACAAAACGAAGGTTGACCCGCCATTTCTACCTCACATGATGGATAATAATGGTTCCTCTCCACATCATCTCCTAACAAAGTGGAGACTACCAAAGTCTGTGTCAATGGCGTCATTGGTACGTCAAGACTCTTGGCGAACACTTCACTCACAAATGAACGTTGTGCCCTGGTATCAATGAGAATCCTTGCGTTTCTTCCATTGATTAAGAGTGTTCCTACATTTATAGAGGATGTAAGACACACCACCCAGAGTATCGAATCGAAAATGGCCTATTTTTTTAAAAAAAATTGACAGGACCGGTGCCGGTTGGGCTTGACCCGGGAAGCTGCCTGGCCCGGTCGCGTGGGCCCGGTTTGGACGTCGAAAAAATTTTCTGGATGACCGGCGCCGGTTGGGTGCAAAAATGGCACGGTTGGGCAAAAATGCCCCGGTTGCGGAGGGGCGGATGGTTACAGAAGGTTTGTCGCTACGACCGGCTCCGGTTGCTCCCTGGGCAGCCTCCATTTTGTTCATTTTAGCTAGAAACCGACCGGTAACGTCACCGGCCGGCCCGTACAACCCCACTATCACTTTTAACACATTAATATATGTATTTTATCAAGCATTAACAAGGGATTGCCTACAACAGAGTCGGGGTTGGCCCGAGCATCGTCCTCGGTCATTGCGTAGACCCTTACTTGGGCCCCGCCATGATTGACGGACGCGGAATTGCTTGTTGATGTGCCCGCCTCTTCCCGTGCCGCCGTGTGATGGTCCTGCACGGTTCCTCCCCGTCATGGCCCCTCCTCCGGCTCCCGATGCGTTACGTTGCGTTATTTGAGGGAAATTAGCCTTCATATGGCCCGCATTCCCATACTTCACCTCGGTGGTTCATTGCACTTCCCAAAGTGTTGTTTAGTGCAATAGGGACATGTAGGTGCCCCGAATTATGTAGTCTAGGTTTGTTCCACCTTGCATCTTTATTCTTCTTTGTCGGCGGCGCCGGTGGTCTAAATGGATCACTACCACTGTGGTTGTTCTTCCGAGAATGATCGGGTTGCCTCGAATTGTTCCATTTCCTCTTCTTCGCCTCCTCGCCATCTCTTGCTTTTCTCTCATTCCATTGGGTTTCCCCAAGAAGGCCCTGCTCTACCACCTCACTAAAGTTCATGTGGCGAGAGTACGTAGCCCGATCACGGATGTCTAAGAGTAAGGCACCCTAAAAATGCTCCGTCATGCGGTCCTCATCGGCCACGTACTTCGGTAAGAATGTAGTCAGTGTTATAAATTCTTGCTCCAATTGTTTAACAGTGCCACCCTCCTTTTGCTTGAGGTTCGTATACTCCCTCCGCTTCACGTTAACCTCATAGTCGGAGTAGTATTGAGCATAGAACTCCTGTTTGAAGTTCTCCCATGAGATAGTCCCACGATATTTCCCTTCTAGTCTCTCCCACCTTGTAGAAGCTATCCCCTCAAGCAAACGTGAAGCCACGATCAACTTCACATCGGGTGTGATTTGCATATCTCTCGATGCATCTTTCAGCTTCTTAATCCAATCGGCGGCAATGGTGATGTCTCCGGTGCCATCAAAGGATTTGCACCCCAAAGCCCTTGCTTCTTTGAGGTACTTGGAGATTCTAACACAGAAATCTCCACCGTGTCCACCTTGGGACATCCCTGAAGTAGCCTTTGAAGCCCCTAGGCTCCTTTGACCTGAAACTCCTCGAGGAGCACGCTTAGCTTGGCATCTCAGCTCTCTCCTTTGCTTCTCCTTTTGATACCATTCAAAAAATCCCCCCATTTGAGCGAATCGGGCATCACTCTCATCATTGTCATCGTCGCCTGTGTGGAAGTCACCCCGTCATACGGGTCTCCTCATGTCACATCTCGGGAACAAAGGTTGAGTCATAATTCTCGGTGTTAGTTTCGTACACCGAGCTAACATGACTGTCGCTCACAGTTTGGGCTCGATGCCCCCCCACGACTTCCACAGCCTCTACGGCTTCCTCTTCCACCTCGTGAGCCCCGAGATGCAGCCCGGCTAGCCCCAATAGAAGCTACCGGCGTTTGCCCTCTCAGATTGTTTCTTGTTGGCATGCGTCTGCCCTCCATTTCTGAAAAGGAATTTGAACGAGTCATTAGACTACAATCAATGTCCACTGACGGAAAACGTTATAGATACATATTGGCCTAAGTCACCACCATACCAATTGCTAAAGGTACCATCTTAATAACTAGAGACCTTGCAACTTAAGTAACAATCATTCTATAACGCCAAAATACAATGCTCATGGTTTTCGGTATAACTCTTTTTTGTAAAATCTCTTGTGATGGGTTGATTACATAGTTTAAAAACTGAGATGGCTCTGATACCACTTAATTGTCACACCCCAGACCGCATCTAAGCGCGTGTACAACCGCCGTGTGATCAAGTGACGTCACTCGCAAGTCAACCTTGCTTAATCACACAAGGCGTTAATCAACACCGTTCACACCATACTCAGTAAGTAAACACATATAAAAACATCACATCATAGATTGAATGAATAGCGAAAAATATTCAACGGGCAATCATAAGCCACATATGGCAAAACGTAGGCTCGCATGCCAAAAATAATGTAATATTACAAAAGTATCCATGAGCATAGATTATAATTTTAAAACAGTAAAGGAAGCACGAACCATGTCTTCCTCTAGATTCTTTCCACCCGTGCAAAGGTGTAGACAACAGGCTCTAGCTTCAACCTGAAATGGTGGGGCCCCCCTAAGGGTTCAGTACGAGTACCGAGCGAGTAGCAAGCTAAATGTAGAATAACTTACGTTTCAAGTATAAGACCCAAACATAGGGTGATACACATACTTATTCTCCTTTACCCCAAGTTATAAAATATATATCGGTACTTTTATACACTTGGAAATACCCGACCCGTAGTTCATTGTTTATTTGGGAAAAATAGTAGTAATCAATGCCCTTGACTCAAGACCCCAACACACCCATAGACATATGAGTGTATATGACTCCTCCTGTCCAAATCAAATAATCATGAGGACACCGCCCGGTCCTGAATTACTAACAGTAATCTATGAGTTTTGAGGATACATGCCCGATCCCTGGGTACTCCACCCTATATAACCGAGTTTTGAGTATACCGCCCGATCTTTGAGTACTCCACCCGACATAACTGAGTTTTGAGGATACCGCCCGATCCTTGGGTACTCCACCCGACATAACCAAGTTTTGAGGATACTGCCCGATCCTTGGGTACTCCACCCGACATAACAGAGTTTTCAGGATACCGCCCGATTCTTGGGTACTCCACCTGGCCTATGATCTACCACATATCATACTAGATAGGGTCTATATCATAATCCATAATTAAGACTAAACCAAGTCTTGAGGCCTAAGTAAATTTATCCATGCAATTCATGCATTAAAAATCAACATATCTCTACAATATTATTAGAGCGAATATTGTTAAGTGTATAATGGTCATACAAAATGTGTTGGTGTCTCTTGGTGCATAAAGTGATTGTACATCATGTACGGTGTTTTGTACTTATAAGCTTATCCTAGCTTGTGTTTTAACGGAACTTTACGGGCGCCGTCACATGATGGATGATGGATGGTCTCTCCTATCAAATCGGAAACTATCGAGTATCGATCGACTGTACGGCTGCTCCGCAACCTCGCCAGTCGCCATACACCTGCAACCAAGCCAATTAAAACCCACTCCGCCATTGGGCCTTTGTTCCTTGTTGGCAGCTTCTCCAACCAATTTGACCTAGCTAATGATAAACTTCTGCCAAAGTCTTTGTCAGCTTTCACGTTTGGCAAGTGGGCAGAGCCTTCAGCCTCATATGAGACTTAGATCGCAAGCAGGCAAGCAGGAGCAGCACACCGGTTCCAGTATTCCGTCCAGGGGAGCACCCCAGCAGTGATTGAGGATGGTGACGGTGGAGCTCCACCAGGCGAAGACTGATACCAGACGCACTTTCTTAAATATCATATTCTTGTATGTTCAATTGATTTCACGCTTCTTAAATAACATACTCTTGTAAGTTCATTCTCTATTTAGACGATTGACGCTTTCTCTTGATTTTAATAATTAACATTTCCTCTTGATCTATTTTATCGAACTATGTATACACAGTTCAACATTTTTCATGTTAATTTACATGATTTGTTTTAATGTTGTTGTTAGAATTTCAGGGTTTTGTGTATTCAATTCTACCACCTCATAACTTTAGTATTGTTGTGTTCAACTTCAACTCACTTATTTATTTACATGTACCTGGTTCTTATTAGTTCCTAGACGTGAAGAATTCTTTAAGCTTTTTGTATATTCAATTATGCCGCATGTTGGGTCCTTCACTGGTTGTTGTGTGTTCCTGAAATTATTTTCCGGAGTAGTTTGGAACGATACCTATCAGTTTCCCACTTTAAATTTGTGTCATCTATGTGTTTGCCTAAATGTGCATATGAAATCAATGGATTTGTTGCCCGCCAAACTTTTTTTTTTGCATGTAATGTATGTATATATGTGTTGTATTTAGGAGGACTGCAGACGTCCATGGTTAAATGTATTGGAGTAACTCAACACCTAACTGCCATCTTCCCCCTCTTTGTTTTTTTATTGTGTTCAGTTTTTAAAGTGTTATCGGAAAACATTATTTGTTTGGTTAATAAGTGTTACGACCATAGTTACTGAAAAGAAGAATTGGAGCTTTTCTATGATTGCATATAAAACAGCAGAGACCAGAGTAAACGTTAAGAAAAGAACCTCTTCAGTGATGATTTATTCGTTCTCCTTCCTCTTCTTCCTTAGCCTCTTCAATTGGAATGTTGTCTGACCCATTTGCTGCTCTCTCGATTTGTATAGATCAACTTCATAATACGAACATATAGCTTCTTTTTCCTTTTTTTGGGTCAGTTTTAGTACGTTATTTGTTTTTTGATTAATGCTTAGGTGGTTTTTGACAAAAATAGTGTTCTTGAGCAAATATGCAGTGAACAGAGTTGTGTAGATATATCGATTGCTGATGCAGATTCTTCTTCATAAATAAATGTGGTGTGGAGTAGATTCTATCTGTTATTTTTGTATCTCAATGTTTTATTGTACTTTAACTACTAATGTAATGCTTCCAGATCTCTTGTAAGTGAAACCATCAACTTAATACCAGAGCAACTTGTAACGTCAAGTGACACTTTGATAGTAGTATTTGTTCAGTGCTTCAGCACTTCAGCCCTTCATAAAGCATCCTTCTATAAACTTGAGCCAGGAATGTTTCCCATTTGTTTCAACATTTTGCTATTTCCTGGATCTTTTAACCCCTTGTTAACATCTTAATCGTGTTACCTTTTTACCATTGACTTTTAACATGACCTTTTATTTAATTATCCATAATAAACCTTAAACTTAAGAACTTGCCAAATCCTTGCCCCATGGTTCATTCCCTAGAGTTTAATTAAATAAAAAAGAGCCTGCTGAAAAAATAACATTCTCATTCACGCATCATATGCCTCCATCTTTGAACACCCTTCTTCAAGGTGCAAAAAACCCCTCACTAAAGCTTAAAATCTAAAGCCTTGCCTATTCTTTGTTGGGGTATTTCACGTAGGGGGTGATAACCGAGTACTTGGATTGCTTAGGGATCGTGTAAGTTCACTTTCCGAATTGATATTTCTCCCCTATGCGTGGGTTACAAGAAATTCAATCTAGGATAATCCTTAAGGACACTCTAGAACTTAGGCACAAGAACTAGAGCCAAACTAGTGAGTATATGGATTGTTATCTTTAATTCGAATGCCAAAAGTAATCAAGATATGTTGTATATCTCTCCTATATGTTCTCTGTACGAAATATGGTGATATATAACCATACTACACGTCCTGGGCAGTTGCAACACGTTTTAGAATAACAGTTACAGTTTTTGGAAAAACTGCACGAAACTGCCCAACCGCTCTAGACCTCAGTCTAGAACCACAGAGTTGGTCTACTGAGTGTTCTACCTCGAGTTCCACTGCCGTAGACACTTTGGAATAGAACTCATTCTTATATACAAGTGTGCACTCCACACCTCCTAGCTTGTATTAGAACACAGTTCTAATCCCTATTGGCATCCATGTCATTTTCAATTACACAAAACGGCCGGTGACACTAAAATCACCAACAATCCTCCCCCGGTAACCTATGAAATGACATAACAAAGTTTACAAACCAAAACTTGCACATATATGGATATATCGATTCAATTGAATTTTCATCTTAGTATTTTACACATTCAAAATATTTGAGAATCGGGGTGTCCTACGGATTGAACCCTTCAACCCATTTCAATACCTCAAGATAAAATACATACAAGTTTCTATAGTCAACTAGAATACAAACTTGACACAATTAGAAAGCCGTGTGTCCTAATCCCATTCATGATCGTATAAAAGCCAAGTCCCAAGCTTTTTGAAGTGCGGCTACACTTCACGACCATATAGGTAATTCCTTTACTCGTGTACTTGCTTACACTTTATCAAAGGAATTATTAAGAAATAAATTCAGCCTCCCTACTACAGGTCCGAACACACACCTTGGGATGATTTTCATTGTGTGTTCCAATCCATTAAGTGTGAGCTCTCCGCATTGAATTCAGCCTCTAATGTTGTATTAAAGGGGAATTAGGTGTCTCACCATTAAGGATTAAATGGACTTTAAACCCATCCCTATAACAGGCTTGTGCACTAAGTCCCGGGCCAAACTTTTGGTCAAGTGGTCCACCAAGTTATGGAACTTGAATAGTGTTCTTTGGATGTTTTTACAAAAAGATATGCTTGAACGATTGATAGAAGGTCATCCTGAACGCCGTTTTCAAGCTCTATTCCTCTTCATTTGAACCCGTAGCCAATCCTAGAGTTCTTTTATCATCGAATCTTCATCGTGAACCTCCCGATGACCTCCAAAGCTCTCAATTCTCCCTCAAATGCATCATCAACTCATCCCTATTGCTTCTCAAGCGCCGGTGTCGGACTCCAATTCCTGATTAACAATACAAAACTCGAACCACCACCCGGTAACTATGACTTTAGCTAAAAATGAGACTTGTGACACAAAATAATTAGGGAAACTATCAAAAGTCGATCTAAACATGCATCAAATGCGTGTCTAAATACGGACTTATCATAACCCTACCACAAAATCCATGGTCACGGGTTCCCACTTCCATTCCGGAATGGTAAGTGGCTGCAAAAGCCCTGTCGGGTGCTAATGTTCTGCCTTAACTTGTTGATAGGTAAAGCACCGACTCACATACTCTGCGATGTCCCTCTTCATACCTGACTACCAATAACTTTCCTTTAGGTCTCAGTACATCTTTGTACCTCCTGGATGCATAGCATAAACCGAGGAATGAGCCTCCTCTAGTATAGACCTTTGGAGCTCTTCATTCTTCGGTATACATACACGATCTTTAAATAACAAAAGACCATCCTCTCATACCCGTAAATCCTCAACGGATCCCGCAAGGATCCGTTCACGGATCTTCTGACATTCTTCATCAATGCCCTGACATGTGCTGATCTCATCCATCAAGGTAGGTCTAACCTCGAATCTCGCTATGATGGCCTCACCCGTGGTCACCTCCACGTGCGCCCTTAATTTCCGTAGGCAAGTGAGTAACGTCCTCGACGTACTCTTTCTGCTCAGTGAATCGGCCACCACATTGGCCTTACTGGGATGATTGTCGATGATCAAGTTATAGTCCTTGATCAACTCCATCCATCTCCTTTGTCTCATATTCAACTCTTTCTGAGTGAATACATACTTCAGGCTCTTATGATCGGTGTAGATGTGACATGTCTGCCCGTAGAGATAATGCCTCCAAATCTTTAGTGCAAACACTACCGCTCC